AGGAGTTTGAGGTTGCAGTGAGCCATGATGATGTCACTGCATTTAGTCTGGGTGACAGAGTGAGACCCTGTCTCAAAAAAAAAAAAAAAAAAGAAAGGAAAAGAAAAAAGAAATGTATAGCATAAGATAAACCTGGGACATTATTAAGAGTGATATCAAGTAGCAAAGGTCAATGAAAAGGTCATTCCAAAAAGTTGCATAGCCTTGAAATGAGAAGAGAGCCTTGAGCACCAGGATTCTGTTTCCCAGGACTGAATTCCAGAGAAACCCAAATCAGTCACCTTGCCCGAGTACCTTATGAAAGCCCCATAACAGCAACCCTCTCCACAGTAGTTGGATTCAGAATTGTCACCAAGTATTATTAAAGGATAAAAAGCACAGAATAGCCTGGTGTCTTATGAATAGCATGAACAAATTTAATGTCTGATTCAAGTTTAGAACTGATCATCTAACAGAATGTATTCAGCACAATGCCATAGTTGGCTTCCCCATATGAAATAAAAATAAACATTTAACACCAGCTTCTTGCCTTAAGGAAGATAAATCAGCAGCTGTAGATAGGCCACCAGTGGTGATTGGGGTAAAAGCTGAACGTGCCAGGCCAGCACACATAGCCCTTTGGAACAAATGTGAAGTAATATATCACTACAACACTTTGTACTGTTATATTATTTTGATTAAGTGAAATTAAGCCTTTGAAAGACACACTATTACAACATGGTATTCCACGGATCTATCACTGTTAACCAAGTAGCGATGGAAGGTATTTGATCATTAAAATTCAAAACAAAAAAATGTGTTGATGACTCTGGTAAATTCTAGCTCCTAAGATGTGATTATTGAAAGCAACAGAACTTAACAAACATAAAACAAAAACTTTCTGTCTTCTTCCAGGTACCAATTGAAACAAGATTCTAATCAAAGTATAATTCAGAGAGATCCTCATCTATCACATAAAGAACAACTTTATACTCAAAAAGTTATCGATAAGTTCATACATTGTATGAAGAATATTTTTGACAGAATTATGTTTCAAACTTTGGAACGAGATTGTTCTAGCATTGTATATTTTTCACATCTAGTATGAAATTATGTAAATATTCTTAATTTTATATCTTGTAGATTTATCAAAGGAGGAAAATTATTTTGTTTATATGTATATGCAGCACTGACAGAGTTCCATCCAAGTCACTGCCTTCATGCACATGTTTTACAGTGTACTGACACCACTGTTTTGAATCTCTTAATTTATACAGGTCATACTAATATATCTCATTTTTCAAAATTCAGTTGTACAGTAGATGTGTCTTGTTTTGTTAAATTTCTTATTAGCTTTCTGAAACATACTTGCTGTGGCCCTCTTTTATAGTGGTCTGGCCGGAAACCTGCTACATGAGAGTCTGGTAATAAAACCCCTGTAACAGGGCTTCTTTGCCCAGATTTTACAATTTTCAATCCAGCTTTTTAAAGCACCCAACCTCCTATCCAAATTTAAACACAATCCGTCTTATGTAATACCTGTAACTATACAAACTTAGTATGAAAACTGCATAAACTTAATGGAAGCAATACAATAAGGTGAAGAAGGTGAAAAGTAAAGAGAAACCATGATGGGTAGCCCATTCTTCCTGGAATCACTGGGAGGAAAGAACACAAATGGTAGGAAAAATTATGACTTTTCTTTTTTCACTGCTGGTCCTTGTAACTCACAGGGCAAAGTAACAGTTCTAGAGTTCAATTTAGCTGAAGAATGAGATTCAGCGCCCTGCTTTTCTTTTTCACTAACATTGTTCTTGGTGAAAATTGTATTTATTCATGTAACAGAAATTAAACATCAGCACCAACAGAAAAGGATTCAGTGTCCTCTATTAAACATCAAACCACTTTGTCAATGGGAAAAGCTGTCCCAATTGTTTTAGATCCTGCCTTTGAATGTTTATTGTCAAAGTACCCTTCCATCCTTTGTTACTGCCAGGGCTTGTCTGTTGGACTTAAAATCAAATACAGAAAGGTAAAGTAAAGGTAATTTACATAGCTAATCTTAAAAACTAGAATATCAACACTCTTTATAGCAGCTTTTTGAGTCATGAACATCTCAGTTTCATGCACCCTGTGGACTTTAGAAGGAAAAAACACATATACATACATATATTTATAGATATTGCCCCATAAATCTCAGGTTAAGAGCTTTTCTTTTATAGAGGACAGGAAGTAGAAATTGAAAACAGGAGCCTATTTAATTAATCATTTGGATTGAGGGTGAAGCAAATGCTTCATATAGGATTGTCTGCATCCTAGATGTCTGCATCCTCCCAAGGATAGGTGCCCTGTGCATTGTTCTAACCAAAAAAAAAAAAAAAAAAGGAACCCCCCCCAAAAAAAAAACCCAGAAAAAAGGTACAAGCACTCGAATTCTTGTGCCTACATCACAATATGCTCAACCTTAACATCTTGAAGGTTCACTTATCCTCATCCATAAATGTTTTTTTTTTACTTAGGCCTTTAAGGTGGATAATGCTTTGAATAATGGGAGTACGTGAGGACAGGCCTCTACTCACCTGCCTCAGAGCAAATATTTGATATTGACTAGTACAAAGCTCTGATCCCCGATTTAGGAAGAGGTCAAGAGACCAGATAAACGAGAGCAAGATTGAAGGGGAGAGGATACAACTGGGAGACAGAAAGGTTGAAGCTAATATATGTTCAGCAGTTTATCTTTAAAATCATTTTATAAAATTATAAGCATTTGCTACATGTTCTTGTCTAAACACTGTACCTTATCACTTAGGAACATAAAATGAAATGTTTTAAATACAAGTCTGACCCTACACTGCATGAACAAGAATAGAGAAGAGGGATATTTAAACCATTTTTCTAGCATCTCCAACTACATTTCAACATGTCAGAACTGATCAACTGATCTTTTCCATCTCAGTTAATGACAACTCCATTCTTCCTGAAAAATCTCAGGAATTCCTATTGACTCTACTTTTAAAGTATATGATCATTTAACTCTAAAAATAGCCCCCAACAGGTACTATGATTACACACATTTTAGAAAAGCAAAGTAAATCAAGACTCAAAGAGGGTAAGTAACTAGTCTAAGTTATATAGTTACTGGTAGTAGAGCCAGAAATCTGTCTAGACAGTCTAACTCCAGAGCCCACGCTTTTAATTAATCGGAAACATTACCTCCTAAAAGAAATTAAGACCTGTCTAAAAACTGTTACAAGGCAAGACTAAACTCAGGAATAATATAGGCACATTCTACAGATTTGTTCCAAAGTCACTAATTTAGCATTGTACAATAAAATATATCCAGAATTGCTATTAGGAAATATATTATTAACACTCAGAATTAAATACATTTAATATTTCCCTCTCATTATGGCTATGCATTTGGGTAATACATTTTTAAAAATAAAATTTTTTTCCTGGCCACTATACTTTGAAAAATATAAGAAAATATTTTGAAGAAAATTTAGGGATGACTAGAAAGAACAATTTCTAGAGAAGTTAGAGTGTAAGCTCCTAGGGGACAGGAACCGTATCTATTTGGTTATTATACACCCATATCTAACATACAATAGGTGTTTAGTTTTATAGATATTTCACATACACACACATACACACACACACACACACATATATATCCACCCACAAGTCACTCACTTCCCACTTCTTGATACCTATAATGTTGCCATCTCTTGTGTAAATTATTAAAACACTCTTCTTCCTGGTCTCTCTGCTTCCATCTTTGCCTCCCTAGTCTCTTCTCAACACACCAGAATACAAAGAGCCAGATCATTCCATTCCTTTGCTAAGAACACAATGGCTTCCCAAGCCCATCAGAGTAAGGTCAAAGTCTTTTCCATGGCCAGGGCTCTGATCTCCCCATTCCCTGTTATTACTTCTGATCTCCTCTCACTACTCTTCCTTCATTTGTTCCAGTCCAGTATCCCAATTTATTCCTCATGCTTGACAGGCACAATCCCACTCTAAGGCCTTTGCAGACTGTGCCCTCTACTGGGAAAGCTCTGCCCCACATTATCTGTATGGCTTTCACCTAGTCATTTTTTCAACGAGTTCTACCCTGCCCACTTTATTTAAAATTGCAAACCTACCATTACCTCAATTATCCATACTTTTCCTTTTTTCCATAGGATTTTATCACACTTCTAACATGGTATATAATTTAATGATGTTTATGGATCATCTGTCCCAAAAAACTGGTGTACCTCGAATGCTCAGAACTGTATCTAACATATAAATGCCTCAATGAATCTTTACATCCCACGATACTCACTATATAATTACTGCATATAGGTCATGAAATACTACACTTAGTATGGATGAAGATGCTTACCAGCACATAGAGCCTATTTGGTTAACAGATCCGTGACTAAGACGACTTGATATCCACACCAAAGATGTAACAGCACTTACCTCCAAGGAGGAAACTCTTCATTGGAATAGCAGTCAAGGGGACCTTTACCTTTATTGTAATATTACAATTTTTCCCACAAGATTTAATACACAATTGAAAATGAGTACAAATTTAAAAACAAAATAGTAATGAAAAGTTTTGATTGTAACGGAAGTGAAAGGGAGCAGGATTTTTCAATCTGAATGGAGAAAAATTTTAAAGGCAGAGGCAATAGGAAAGGGGCTTAAATACAGTATGTAAGTTAGTGTTGACAACTACTTAGAATAAACTGGGATATTCTTAGGTCATAGAATAAAATAGTCTAACAATTTTAAATGAATGGATTTTTTTTTTTTTATCAATAAGATGGTCCTACCTATGTGTGAGAACTAAATCCATAACTTACACTATTGTTCATTTCAATCCTGATTCTGTAGTGCCTAGAAATTCACAATTATTAAAGACAGAGTCATGGGAAAAATAAACTTTAACATTGTGTTATTTTAAAAATTCTGCCTTAAAATTTTTTTCCTCAGTGATGGAAAACTGAAAGGTCATGAATCAAAACAAGGTGTTCAAACTTCCAAGTCCGTTTTTATTAGCATCACTACGAAGTATTTTACCTGGCTTACTCCTTCACCTGAAGCCTAGTATAACCAATACTGCTTTATTACGTTGTGCATATATTGAATAAGTAAACTTGGTTTCTAGGCCATAATTGAACAAATTAGTTACAAACCAGTGAAGATAAATAAATCCACTTCAATCAGAATATAGTATGTTTACAATACGAGTGGGTTATGTCAAACTTCATTTAGCATCAGTGTATTAGTTTGATGACTAACCTAATAGAGAAATGTCTTTTGGGTACTCATGCATTGTTTTCATGTACTAATAGGGCATTTTCAAAAAATTTATGAAAGGTGGAACCATGGAGCTTTTCCACAAAATTTATGAAAAATACTCTTCCAATATATTAGTCAGAACAAAGCCTAAAGCAGTCATACAGTAAATAGCCACTTATTACGAGCTTAAAAAATGTTCAAGTATCTTTTTCATTTACATTTCAGAGGTATCTCATTAGCATTATACAGTAATTTTGAGCAAGTGGTTTTTACAGGGCAAAATGGATATAGTTTCTTACGGTCTTTGCAATGGATCTTTCCCCAAATACCACATTACACTCTAAACAAACATGCTACTGAAGAAATATAACAATTCAATTTGCTGGTCTTAATCTTTAAAAAAAGTGAATGTATTTTACTATAGAATGTGGTATTAACTCAAATATGGAAAATTCTGCATTCTCACAGTGTCATCATTAGGTAAAAATTCATCTAGGCAAAATAGTATTTATGCTTCCATTTTATTGTTTTTAAGAATTAAACTGCCACCTCAGTAGTCTTAAGAGCAATATAATGAAACATACATACATTTAATTTAGACTTATGTCCATCATAGCTTCAAAGGCTTCCCTGAAATAAGGCTGGGATTCACATCTTTTTCCTTAAGGAAAGAAACACTAACAGTAATTTTGTTATCCTTCTCCCCACCCACCCTCATTCAAACAATTATAACTGATGAATTCAAGTCTAACACCATTTTAAAATTGTCTGCTACAAGACATTCATCTGATCTGCCTCCCTGCATAACAAATATTTCTTACATCTAACTGAAAATAAATCATTTTTTAAAAGCCTAAAAGATTTCTCCTAACATGAAAGTTTATCATGATACTGACTTTTTTTGTCCAATACATAGGCTAAGTGGTTTCTTACCACATTCAACTCTAGTGAATTTCAGTAAAAGCATGAGAGCTCTTCATAAATAGTTGAGAAGCTTGAAAGTGAATTTGGTTATTTTCTTATTACATGAAACAATGGCTTGGATTTTTATCAGTAATATTTTAAAAGCTCCTAAACAGGGGCTTGAAAAGGAATCAAGTTTGTACCAGTCCAAGTACCTACAGTAATATGATAGATGCACTCACCACCAACATTTCACACTATTTCACTCCCATGCTTTTAATAACAAGCATTTCTCACTAGAAAAATTGCATTAACACGGAACTTTTTCAAAATAAGTGTAAAAAAAGTCACTTGCTTAAAAGAAAAAAGTATATTAGTTATTTTCGGCCAGTCAAGGTTGAAATGGCCATTTATATTATTTCTAACTTCTGCTCTAAGTTCAGAAATGATTTGCATCTGATCATCCAAGATGGGAATTTGTTTTGCCTGTACCTGACAGAATAAAATGGTTAATTAGCAATCAGTTCACCCTTTGTCAAAAAGATGTTCTAAATTTATACACTACAATCTATCTAATAAATGATATCTGCATACTACACATTTCATGTTTATATTATGCACCATTTTAGGGGGGAGGAAAAACTTCACAGGGATTAATTCAAAGGATATAGAATAATATCCTAAGAAGGTTGATTTATACATGAGTTCTGTATAAATTGTAAGTGGTCATCTTAGTTGGACTGTAACAAGCCCCTATAATGCAAAAGCTGACTCGAAAGGCACCGTATAAAGCACTGAAATTCAGAATTTAGCCATTGCTTTTCTCTTGTCCAATACAAAATTATCTGGTAGTCTTTGCCGTTGTCTCTCTACTAAAATGTTCCAAGTTCAGATTATTTTACCAACAAAAGGAATAGGAAATAATAGCTTTTAAATTTCAAGTTAGAGGAAAAATCTCATCACACAGCAATGAAACCTGAGTAAATGGAAGTTTGTGATTACAGAATATGTCCTTCATTAATACATTATTCAAATTCCTCCATGGCATCAAACTGTAGTTTAAAATTCAATAAACAAGAGCCACTTAAACACAGGATCAAATTCTACCATGAAATGAGGAATTACATAAAGCCTATTCAGCCCTAAATATTTAGTTTAAGACAATGAACAGAACACATTTCATCTAAATAACACCATTTAAACAGTTCTACAAAATAATGTTACTTAAGCTTAATATGTATGGTGCATCATGTGATTCCAACCATTCAGTAAAAAAGCATTAATGAGTAACAGCATCCTCCACCAGCTTGAAGCCTGTAGAATTGATTACTTTGGCCGTATCTTTCCAAATAATTAGTAATGCCTTTTAATATTACAAACATATCTCAGTACTAGAATCCAATATATTTTGGTGCTCCTGAGGCTGCCTAAAAATGAAAAGGCATCCAAGTGAAGTGCATTAGATACTTACTAGACCTCAAAATTTCAGTGCCTAAAATGTGAAATAGTTCTCTATCATTTAACAGTCTGCCTTATAGCAAATTCTAGTAGATTTTTACTTTTAGGATTTTATTGTAACTTTGGGAAATTAGTGGTAAAACATATGGTTTTAAAAAACAGTATGTGGCTGCACTTAAATTCACATAAAAATAGCATTTTTACAACCATATTGAAATTTAATCCTTTTACACAGGTTAACAAAATGTATCACAAGAAAAACTAAACATTGGGTTTAACAAAAGCAATACTTTTGAAAGTGGAACAATGAAAATTTTTTTCAAATTTTTTACAAATGGTCACCTCTGGGTCAATTTACCACACTAGGGGAACAAAGGTGTTAAAATATAGCTGTGCTCAACTGAGCCACTTAATCTGCACTATAGTATAGTACTTGAAATCAATCCTAAAGTCAAGATTTAAAAGCATTTTAAGAGACAAGACCCTATGTGTTTTATAGCCACCTCAGTAAGAGGTACTTTTCCTTCCCAAAAGTCAAAGCTTAATTAAAAGATTGACTATACATAAGTTTTTTTTCCTCATCATATCTTCAGTTCAAAACACTATTATCATTGGTAATACGGTCTATATCTTGTCTGATCTGGATGATGTGGTCCAGGAAGTGGGGTTTGAGAAGGCGGACCCTGCATTCGTGGAGGAGGAGGTGGCCCTCTTGGTACGGGCCATATACCAGGACTCATTCCCCCTGGTTGTGTAAATGGAGGGCTCAGAGTTCCTTGATCTTCAGTGAACTGGGGTAAAGAGTTAGGATTATAATGGTGAGGAGGGGGTGCAGTTACAGGTGGACCACCATGTTGAGGTGGGGGAGGTCCTGGAGGAGGATGATTCATATAAGGTGGCATCTGGGCAATAATATGTCCAGGGGGAGGGGTTATTGGTGGTGGAGCAGAGGTCATTGGTGGAGGTGGAGCTTGGCTATATACCAAGTGAGGAGTACCTGCAGCCTGGGGAGGATGTGGCATTGGATGGCTTATTGGTGGTGGAGGAGGTGGGGGTGGTGCATAATGTTGCTGTGGAGGCATAATATGATGAGGGTGCGATACCACTGGTTGGCCCTGATATTCAGGATGATGGTGAGCAGGTGCTGGGGCAGGAGGTGGTGGTTCTCTAGCACCTGAATTTGAGTCATCCTGAATAGGGACAGTTATTAAATTGCTGTGTTTTCTTGTTGAAATACGAAAGGTTTCCTGACTGACCGAACGAGGTGGAGGTGGAGCCATAGACAATTCTGCTGGAGGAGCACGAATATCCTCATGTGGCTGATTATAGTGCTCATGTGGCACATGTTGCAAAGGAGGTGGTGGCATCATGATGTGCTGCTTTGGCGGAATATGGCTCATATGATGCTTGTCTGGTGGCATTATAAAACGATCAGGGATTTCAGTTGGTGGTGGGGCAATAGGAGGATGAACATTTTCAAGCGAAGCACAGGTAACAGGTTTTTCAGCTCTCATATGGCGATGGTTGATATGAGCCTGTAAGTCTCTCTGAGACAAATATGTTCTCTTGCACCCTTGAACAATGCTACACATGAAGAGAGAACCTCGTGTACACTGCTCAATTCGCTGCACAGGATCACTACAGCTAAATTAGAAAGGAAAAAAATTTTGATTTACTAAAATAAGACTATAAAAATAATGCACTAATTTTCAAAACTATTTTCAAAAATTGCTACATAAAATATAGCAAAAAAAGGTCACAATTAAAAATTTCTCTACATGAACCTGTAATTGTCCCTACCTTTTTGTCCATTGGCCATTAAGTATCAGCATTTCTGTCAACCTCCAAACCCTTAATATCAAACTTATGTTTTAAGAAGAGACCTTATTTCTCCTAAGACCTAGAATTTATCTAGTTTTCTAAAACAATTCTATGCCTTGTATCCATGTGCAAAAAAATCCAACAAGGACAGACCAAAAGATTACTTATAATCATGGAATTCAAACTTATACAGTATTATTAAGCAGTAAGTATTTGTTCAACAAATACTACTAAGTGGAAGACACTAGATGCTGCAAGGACTACCACAATGAGTAAGATCAGCCTAATCATCAGAGTTCTTAATCTTAAACGACATAAACAATTTCAAACCTTGACTATCTAAGAGTCTCTTAAGCAAGGGGTTTGCCGAATTGTCAGACAATTTACTACTACGAAGGAGTATTTTTTTGCCTTCCTAAATTGTGAGCACTGAATTTACCTTAACATTTTCTTAATGATTCAGGATCAAAACTATAGCTATTCTTCATTTTACTATATTTAACCCATTCTTGCCTTTAAAGTCTTCTTGACATAGTGGAAAGAGGACTGAACTAGGAATACAAAGATCTGGGATCTAGTATTAGCTCTGTAATTTGCAGTAGTCACTTAACTGTTTTCAAGTTTGTTTCTTCACTTGTAAAATGTGGTTTAAATATCCACTATACCTAACTCACAATGATTTTTTATCTGTTTGCCTTACTTAAGAGAGTATTCTTAAGATCAAATGAAACAATGAAAGTGACAATATTTAGTCACTAGTTAAGCACTATATATATAAGCTATTATCACTGGCTATGTGTGTGAGGTCATTTGCACTATACTAAATGGCTCTATTTTTTTGGGTTTGTTTCATTTTTTCTTTTTGAGACAGAGTCTCACTCAGGGACCCTGGGTTGAGTGCAGTGGCATAATAGCTCATTACAACCTTGAACTCCTGGGCTAAAGCAATCCTTCCACCTCAGTCTCCCAAGTAGTTGGGACTATAGGCATGCACCACCACACCCAGCTAATTTTTTCATTTTTAGTAGAGATAGGGTCTCGCTCTTGCTTAGGCTGGTTTTGACCTCCTGACCTCAAAAGATCCTCTCACCTTGGCCTCCCGGAGTGTTAGGATTATAGGCGTGAGCCACCAAGCCTGGCCTATATTCTTGATTTTGAGTTGTGCCTATTTTTCATTCTTGTTATATGGCTGGCATTCCTTATTGATACTACTATGCTTCCCTTCATTGGCCATGTGACACACTTCTCATGATTTGCTTCTGATTCACTGTAAACTCAGAAAGATCTTCACATTAACAGGATGTGAGGCACTTTCTTTTGGGTGATGCTTAAAAGTAGCAGTATACGATATTTACATTAACTTTGGTTGCCATTTCTTCACTTCCTGATCTGGGTCTGTTAATCCAGATAGGCTTCTGTCCTAAAATAGCCAAGGACCACACAAGTAAGGTGCTTACTAGAGTTACATTTAGTAACTTGAAAACAAATTCCTTTTAAACATTAACATTAGAACACTTACGACAAGTCTTCTACATAATGTTTTGTTACTTTCTTTTGAGACAGTGTCCCACTTTTTTGCCCAGGCTAGAGTGAGTGCCGTGGATCAGCCTAGCTCACAGCAACCTCAAACTCCTGGGCTCCAGCAATCCTGCTGCCTCAGCCTCCCAAGTAGCTAGGACTACAGGCATGCGCCACCATGCCCGGCTAATTTTTTCTATATATTTTTAGTTGGCCAATTAATTTCTTTCTATTTATAGTAGAGATGGGGTCTCACTCTTGCTCAGGCTGGTTTCTAACTCCTGACCTCGAGCAATCCGCCTGCCTTGGCCTCCCAGAGTGCCAGGATTACAGGCGTGAGCCACCGCACCGGCCCTACATAATGTTTTATCACATCTGAAATCCTTTATTCCAATGAAGCAACCAAATTTACTATATAATTTAAAGTGAATGTACATCATGTTGGAAAATTAGGCATGAGAAAACACCCAAAAAAAAAGTGATACATACTTCTAATTTCCTAACTTTTCTGAATTATAATTCTATAGAAGAAATATTCTTTACACTCACAGTACAGATTTTATAATTGGTTACTTTAAAAACCTAATAAAAGCATGCCCAAATAATTAGTTGTCTTTGGGTTGTCAATAAATCATCCTTTCTCTCCCAGTGATATCAATTTCCCCATAGTGTAAAAGAAAACCATCCCTTACAATTGTCTATAGCTTTGTTATCAACTGATAACTATAAATCTTGAGTAGCTTCAAGCACAGGATTATAAGAACCCTATGGCTGGTTCAAAGAAGTTTCTCTCACAGCCTTTCTTGAGCCTTCCTTTTTAAATTGATAATAAAAATTCCTAATTTATTCTGGTTTCTTCAAAACCATCCCAAAATGGATCTAGCTAGCTTTTTATAACTTGTTTGAGTCTATGTCATGATGGTGTTCTAAGATATACTCAACACATAATGATCAGATTTGAAGGTAATAAATAAGAGCTTATACTTAAATAGTGCTTACTATATACTGGCTACTAACTATCTATAATCCAAGGAGGTAAGTATTAATAGCTTCATTTTATAGATTAAAAAAACAGCTTATGTCATATAGCTAATAAATGGCAAAACCCTGGAATTCTAATTCTGTAGTCTTTGTTCTCAACCAATACACCATACTACTACTTTCTCTAGTGTCCCATCAAAATAAATAAATAAATAAATAACTGTTTTCAATGTGTACTAATTCTATGATGGCAAATAGATTTCTTCCCTTTGGCCAATTTGAACTGACTGATAGTGGCTATGTAGCGTTATATTTTTTTTAAAAGGCTAAAACCAACTCCTCGCTCACAGAAAAAGACTGGCCATGCCTACATATTTGATTTCCTGCCTGGTTTACATCATCCCCTAATCTTTAATCTAATTTATAAATCATTATTCTACAAAGTTTACCATTTAAAAATACGATGATCTTATCTTACCCTGGACACATTTTATCTCCTTTTTTTTCATGTAAAATAGCACAATCATAGCAAAAAACATGCTTGCATGGAATCTGTAAACAAAGACATTATAATTAAGTATACTAAAACAAATTATTTTTTCCATAAAAAAATAACAGTAAGTTTAGTGACTTAGAAGGCACTTGATAACTATTTGGTTAAAATGAACACTAAACTCTAATTATATAAAACTAATAACTTTTTTCAATCACAAAGCTTTCTGAGAATGCTATGCCTTTTTCCCAATAAATGTATTCATGCATATTTGCTTATACTTTCCAGAGGTGTAAACCTTATAAATTGCCACTCATAGTCCCTGCAGGTTAAAAGCTCCTGAAGAACACTGTAATTATGTTTTATCTTATCCTGTTTCTCCTGAAACTATTCCAAAGCAACAAAATAACAAGTATCTCCTACATTTAATATAATTAGTATTTTCCTCTGGTAGTCTTAAGTTAATAAACTCATAAAAATCTAAAAATAAATCAGAAGAATAGAGTAAAATGACTTTAAAAACACATTTTTAAACTCACAGCCCATTATTATTACTTTGCTATGATATACAGCAAAGCAACTGTGCACAATCCATGCCCTCTATCATCACAAACATATTAAAATCAGTTCTTTTCAAAGACAAATGCAAGACTACCTTTTCTTTTTTCCTTTTTTTCTTTGAGACAGAGTCTCAACTCTGTTGCCCGGGCTAAAGTTAAAACTACCTTTTCTTGAGCAATGACATGTTAAAATTACTATAAAATTACAGTTAGGATTGTAAATTTTTTTTTAATGATTAGAATTCAATTTTTAGAAATTATAAGTATTATTTATTCAGTTTTATATAAAAATTATGGCCATCAGAAATGAGTAACTGATTTTATTCTATTCTATTAGGAAAAATATCTTCCTTAATAAACTAGGACAAATGTAGACTAGCTGGTATCAAATAGCCCAAGAAATTATTCAGTTTTCAGAATTGGTATCCTTAATAAAGTGATATTTTATAAGAATTCAAGGAATTTGTCAAGATATTAAATTCATAGTATTCTAATACTTCCCTTAATTATTTCATACTTATTTAAAATGTCACAAACTTAGTCATTACATAATGATAAACCTGTGTAGATAAATTTCAGAATCCTACCACTATGCAAATGCTTACATTTACAAAAACAATATTTTATTTATTTAGACTTACCATTCGCCCATAGATTTTAATAGGCAATCCACATTTGTCACAGAAGTGAACTGGGGTATCATCTTTTTCACCTAAGATGTTAATCTGTTGAAACAATATAATTAAAATTTCCTCCTTAGGCAATTCTAAGACTGTATCTATAATTTACACAATAAATTCGTGTTTTATAAAAGTTAAAACAGTAAGAAATAGAGGGTTCTTGGTATAATTCCCACATATTCCCCACCATTATAGCTGTACTACCATCAGTTTATTTTTCTTCTTAGAGTTAATGATTATTGATTTTACTGAAAATTACTTCCAATAATTTTTGGAAATAGAGCTATAATAAACAAATGTGTGTGCTAAATATCATAGCTGTAATAAAAGTTCATTCCAGACATTCTTTATGTATCTTGCATTGCTCCAATAAAACATTTTAAGTATCGAATACTTAAAATATTTAATACTTAAAATATTTTATTGTCCTAATAACATTTTTCATTTTAAGCTATACCTGAAAGTCCCAAAAAAGGTGTCCAGGAAATCTTCGCTGATTTCCAAACAGTTCGCCCCCTTTACAGTCATACCGTTCTTCTTCATTATAATCAAATCCTTCTAAAAAAAGAAAATGTTACTCATTAACTTTTAAAATCTCAAATTTCATTTTGGAAATACATGTACATGGCAAAATAGGCCTATTCACTGAAAAGCCCATCTAATGCCCTTTAAAGTTCTTCTAAGAACAAGATAATCAAGGCTAATTTAAAACAACTAGAAGTGATCTTATGATCTAGTCCAAATCTTTTACAACATAATTGATAATATTACTATATGGAGACTCATAATAACTCAAAAGATTAGAAGATTTGTGACAAAGTCAGGAACAGAACTCAGATCTCTTGATGCTTATTCAAGTACACTTATCAATTCATCCAACTATCTCTAGTATAAAATTTTACTGATTATCATCATGCTTATACAATTTTTTAAGATATTGATTATCATTTATTCTAGTCTATCTACAAAAGTGTTATCATGTTGCAAGAGAAAGATTTTATTGCCAAAAGAATAATATAAGGAAAACATAAAGCATTCTGTAGATTTTCTTCTTAGGCCTTAGTAAATCGGATATCCTCTTCTGATTATGTGTGATTTTAGAAACATTTAACATATTCATACTTTATCCTGTCAGTTCAAACCTCTCCCCAGTTAATCACCCAAGCAGCAAAAGCCATATCTTATCTTCTCAGGTATATGCTCTCCTACACTGTATATATCAATAAACTTAAGTTAATATGAAGATCAAATAAGCTTAATTTCTCTGGCCTAATTAAAAAGTTGATGCCAATCTTCTCATCTCATACAAAAGAACAGAAAACCAATGAACAGTCTAATGGGAATTCTAGGTAGAATCCAATTACCTAAAGTAAAGCTGAGAAGACAAATATATCCCCTCCAAGGTGCCAGGCTTCTCACGACTCTTTTGGCCCTAGATCTGGTAAACAGAGTAGCCAAGCACACAGGTTTTAACTTTACCCACATGGCTAAATTACACCACCCATACACAGAGACACACTCACAAACAAGGATGCAAGAATTTTTTGAAGCTGACAGACACTCTAGTGTACTGCTATTTAATTATCTCCAATACACATGTAATTCAAAATAATACACATGTAGTTCAAAGTCAGGGTACTCTTTTAAGGTATACCTAAGTGTCCTTAGGCTCCTATATTGTCCATTTATACCTTATAAAAGCTAGTGTGATCTAAAAGTCAAAATAAGGAAAATCAATTTTTCAACCCCAGAAAATTATTGAGGTCAACAGCCAAAGAAATCAGGAAGACATTATCATTTTTCAGAGTAGTTCAAATTGTACTCTCATCATTAAACTATATATATTTGTACAGATACCATACTGGCACCCAAAATTCAACATTTTGATTAATGCCTAGGAAAAAAAACAATTTTTTTAAAACTCTATAGGTGACTCTAAAGTATCCAGTAATTATCTTTAACCTCAGTTTGCTCTATTGATAGAAAATAGTAACAGTAGTTCTGTCTGTGGGCTTAGAGGCAGGGGGAGGGAATACCTCAGAAGAAAAGGATAGAAGAGGATTTTGGCTTTTTCTCATTGTTTGGATTATTACAATAAGAATGTATCTGTAAATTACTGTGTAGTTTGTTTAAAAAGCCAAAAGGGGGTGGGGAGCCCAAATAAAGAGAGTGTGGCAGTTGCCCTAGGTTATTACTACTACAATTTATAACACTTTGACTTCGAACATACTTGTTTAGATGGGAAGAGAAACACTACAATAAAAGAAACCATAATATAAGGCATGTTACAGCATGATTCTAAAAAAGAAACATAGACAAATTGCTGGAAAAGAATAGAAAGTCTAGAAATACACACAAATACTTCTAGAACTTTAATTCATATATGATAGTAGTGGAACTCCTATTCAATGGTTGGGACAATGGCTGTTTTGAAGAAAAAATAAAGCCAGACTCCATTTTTTATTTTTCTTAATAACCAAATATATACCCATAAATGTTCCAAAACAGCATCAGCAAACTTTTTCTGTAAAAGGCCAGACAGTGAATATTTTAGGCTTTGTGGGCTATATGGTCTGAATCACAATGACTAAACTCTGCCATTAAAGTGTGAAAGCCACATATAATACTTAAATGAATAGGCATAGCCATGTTCCAATAAAATTTTATAAATAAAAAGAAGGCGAGATTTGGCCCACAAGCCATAGTTTGCTGATCTATACTGAAGGGTAAGATGAAAAAACTGTTTTATACTCATGGAAAAGTGAAGCCTTTCTAAGAATGTCATAAAACTCCAAAGTCATAACAGCAAACACTGGATATCTATCTGACTACATTGAATCTTCAAACTTCTCTACAGTAAAAGTTTTATATATAAAATTCAAAAGATAAATGGGGAATATATACAATTTATAATAAAAAGCCAATTTTTTTTTTTTTTTTTTTTTGAGACAGAGTCTCGCTTTGTTGCCCAGGCTAGAGTGAGTGCCGTGGCGTCAGCCTAGCTCACAGCAACCTCAAACTCCTGGGCTCCAGTGATCCTTCTGCCTCAGCCTCCCGGGTAGCTGGGACTACAGGCATGCGCCACCATGCCCGGCTAATTTTTTATATATATATCAGTTGGCCAATTAATTTCTTTCTATTTATAGTAGAGACAGGGTCTCGCTCTTGCTCAGGCTGGTTTCGAACTCCTGACCTCGAGCAATCTACCCACCTCAGCTTCCCAGAGTGCTAGGATTACAGGCGTGAACCACCCAAATTTTATTTTTAATGTTATTTTTAATGTTATTTTAATGTTTTTTGGCAATACCGGTTAGATTTTTTTCTAAACAATAGACAGTGTTACTTTCAATAACAAAAGAAATAAAACCCTGCTGGGCGTGGTGGCTCAAGCCTGTAATCCTAGCACTTTGGGAGGCTGAGGCAGGAGGACTACTTGAGCCCAGGAGTTTAAGGTTGCAGTGAGCTATGATGACACAACTGCATTCTAGCTGGATTGACAGAGTGAGACTTTGTCTCGAAGATAAAATAAATAAATAAAACCCAAAATATTTATAAAGGAAGAAAAAAGTACAACCTGCCAAAAGAAATAGAAAAAAAAAAGTTAAAGAATGAAAAGAGTATGTAAGTTAAAGAAAAAAGAGATGGCTACAAGTAAATAGGATTACACAGATAATTTGGTGCAATCAGATATAACAAGACTGTTGGAGCTATTAGTTTAAATAAATTACCTTCATCACCAGGTGGAGCCTTTGCAGGCATCCTGTTTATAGTCCTTTGAGTTCGAGGTGCAGGTTTGGCTTTGTTAGCTTGTTTGGAGATGAGCTTTATAGGAATTCGTCTGCGAACATCAAGACCACCCAAGGATCCAGAACTATTAGTGCCTTGTAACTCATTGTCTATGTTAGGAAAAGAGTTGTAATTTTAGTTTTCTTTTTTGAAGATTATTCTGCCACAGATACTAAACAACATACTCAACATTATCAATAGTTAAAGATCTGAGCTCTGATTTTAAAGATCATATTGACTTAAGTTTAATGGCTAATTTTCTCTATCTTGGATAAACCCTTAAAGCAATACTTTTTAACCCTTTCTGAGACATGGAATCCTTTAAGAAATTGATGAAAGTTATAGAACCTCTCCCTAGAAAAGTGAACAATAAAATTTCCCATAGAATTCCAGAGGAGTTTACAGAAACAAAATCATTCATGAACCCAAGATAACAACCACTGTCTTGAAGTAACTACAAAAGATTTAAAAACAAAAATGAAAAAGAAACAAAACCATCCTTATCTCCATGTCTAATCATAAAGTATGCAAAGTGGGCACTCAATAAATTTATTAAGTGTAACTTACGTTAGCACAAACAAAACTGAAAGCACAAAGCTAACACTGATAAGGCAAAATTAAATAATGCATTTGAAAATTAAGTTAGGTTTAAGCAAAGTGTTCTCTTAAGTGTCAAACAGTTATTCTAAAAAGCATTCAGGAATACAGCAAAAATTAGTATAATATTTAGTAGTAGAAATATGTAATAATGTATTTGTGCTATAACATTTCTAGAGACACACAATTGACTGAGTTATTCTTCGTCAGCATTGTAATGGAAAATTATAATTTAGGATACATAGTTTCTGTGCTTCAAATAGGTCTAAACAACTGATGCCTTCTAGTACCTTTGCTTATTATTACATCTATGAAATAAATTAACTCCTGTCCCATGTGGAATAGGAGCATTATTTCAAAGAACTGACTCCACTAAAGCTTAAGAGTTACCTTTTTCAAATATAGGAATCCAGAAAATAATCAAATTTCCCCACTAAAGGCAAAAGAGAAAATGCTCTGATATAGGAAATGCAAACAACATAATAATTTTTAAAAAATTGTAATGTTTTAGACATGACAAGTTATTGAAGGCGGCTATGTGACTGCACCTGCAGGAAATACTATAATCAAGATTCATAGCTAAACTGTCCACATTAAATTCAGTAAAGACAAATTTTGAAGTAATAAGCCCTAATAACCTCCAAGGCTACTAGGGTTACACATTAAATTCACATTCATTTGCATTTTTTCTGAACAACATATAAAACAAAATTCAAAATGGGTCCTTAATGATTACTTTAAATATCTTTCAGTCTACATTCCACTTTTATAACAGCTAATCCTCAAAAAAAAAAAATCATGGAAAAGGGATTACACGGATAGCTAAAATCTTGAGTTAGGATAAACTCAACTTGACCAACTTTCAACATTTCACTAAATGGACCAACAAGTTGATTAATGTATTTCATCTGCTTTCATTGTAGTTGCGTATCTATGTAAAAATACTTACAATCAATGCAATGGCAAAAAGATAGATATGACAGAATGACTTGTCTTGCTTAAAAAGTATTCCTGACTTTTCAACGAAGTAAAAGTTGTTGTAGACAGATATTTAACAGTTCAATGCTGTCCTTCAGATATTACAAGGACTTGTAATGATTTTTCCTTTGAACAATGAAAATACCTACATTTCATTACTGTAAACCCTTTTTACACCACCCAGAAGTCTTGAGGTCTCTACTTTGCTTGGACAGCCTACTACTTTCAAGAGTCTGCTGCTCCTTATTACTTTGCTGTTTGCCCCACTAATTGCAAGTTCATAGAGTACAGCATTTAATAGTGATAACATTCTGATTTTGTTTGGGGCTTTTTTGTTGTTTCATAATTAAGAAGCAGACCATATAGCACAATTTCCTTTTGAATACACTGTGTTTCCCCGAAAATAAGACCTACCCATAAAATAAGCCCTAGCAGGATTTCTAAGCATTTTTGCACAACATAAGCCCTACCCCAAAAATAAGACCTAGTAATGGGCGTGGCTACGCAGGGTATCTGCACAATCCATGCATTTCGTCGCAGAGCCGTAAAGATGAGCAGCCCTTCTCATCTGCCCCATCATGACAGCTACTATTCCAGAGGTGACCAGAAAGGTGCAGGCAGCCCCACCAACAAGGTCGGCTCCCCCTGTCAGGTCCTGGCCATCCTGTGAGTGCTGCAAGCTGAGGCTTTGAGGGGAAAATAACACATCCCCTGAAAATAAGCCCTAGGGTGTCTTCTGGAGGAACAATAAATGTAAGACCCTGTCTTATTTTCAGGGAAACACAGCAATAACAAAACATAAAGCCCATAACAAAAAGTTCTTGGATATTACACAGAAAGTGCTAATGACAACTGGCCATTCACGGTGAATTCACATTAAAAAAAAGAGTGACACTCTTAGTTTTTAAAAATATTTATTTAGGATTTTATCTTATATAAAAGGATCCAAGAAATATTTTACCAAGTTTAGGTTGCAGTTAGAAAAGTGCTAATTCTTAGAATGACCAAACAATGAATCTGACATTAACCAGGAGATTCTTGGAGTTTTTCTAGCAAAATTCTATTAGAATATCTTTATTTTATGTATGAATTTTTCAGCATGATCATAATATGGGTCATATTTGCATAATGTTCACAAGTTTTATCAATTTTCCCAAGGACTTCTTAATTTTTTGATGTTAAAATAATTCTTTAGAGATGCGTAACTTGCTGTCTTCAATTAACTACCTAACTGGTATTTCCTCATTTGCCAAAGGCTTTGTAATTCAAATAGTTATCAAATTCATGTTTATGAATTTCACGAAAACCTAAATCTTTTGCCAATTTTCTATTTTACCTCATAATCAATGCACAGTATTTGATACTGTCTTCTGATATAAAACATCAAGGAGACTGACTCATAAACAAATTAAAAGAATAGATAAGAAGCTAGTGTTAAGCACTAGCTTATGGTGGGGATAAGGGATATGAATGGGAACTAATGGGAACTATTTTTTTTAAGTGGTTAGCTCATTAGTAAATATTTTCACGTTAGGATGACTTACTTCCTTAGGCAACTTTTTCACTTTGAGAATGAAGATTAATAATCTTTACATACCCACTCATATTATGATTTCCTAACATAACAGCCTCTAACCTGTGGCAGGGACTTGACTCCCAATTCCAGTAACAGACTCAAATGAGAAATATTTTTTTAGAGTTGATTGTTTGCTACTATACCATGAAGATCGAAGAGTTTCAACACTGTAAAATTTCCAAACACTGGAGTTCCTTAGAGTCTGGTTCTAGGCCCTCTTCTCTGTATCACTCTCCTTAAGTGATCATATCCATCCTCATGCTTTAAATCACCAGCTATAAGATACTAACTCCCAAATATGTATTTTCTGTCCAGATCTTTCCTCTGATCTCCACTTGACATCTTCCCTCTTTTGACTCAATACATATCTCATACTCAGCAGTCCAAAACCAAACTCTTGTTCCCAAATTCTTGTGTCCCACCTCTACCAAAAAAGACTGTTTTCTTCCAAGTTTTCCCCAACTCAGTAATGAGCATTACCCAGCTACTCAAACCAAAAACCTAGGCATTTCTCCTTTCTCTCACATAACTCCAAACCAATCCATCAGTAAAATATGAGTTCTAACACCAAAATACTTATTGAATCTTCCCATTCCCCTTCATTTTCACTAAACCAAGCCTCCCTACAGGTCTACTGCAATCACCTTCTAAACTGGCTATTTACCATTATTCTTGCCTCCCTCTCTTACACCATTCTCCATAGAAGAGTGTATTATATATTTTTAAGAGACACTACTGTTCTACTTCTGTTCAATGGCTTCATATTCACTTAAGTTAAAATTCAAATCTTTAGCATAGCTTTCAATGTCCTGAACAATGTGACAGCTGCCTTCCTTTCCAATCTCATTTTAGGGCTCTACCCTCTGGCTGTAACAAGGCCGCAGGTGACTGTCCTCGACATTTTCCTACCTCAGTGCTTTGTACTTGCTGGAAATACTCTTCCTCCTACTTGAATCCATGGCTGGATTCTTCTTATCCAACAGATCTCATCTTAATGTGACCTTTCCAGAAATACATTCCCTGACCACCCTTTCTGAAATTTCCTATTAGTCTCTCCACAATACTCATTTATTTTCTTCAAAGCACTCATCATAATCTGTTAACATTAAGTTTTTTAAAAAACCTGTTTATTGCCTGTCTTCCCCAAAAGAATGTAAGGTCCATCAGGTCAGAGACTCAGTCTGTCTCGTTTACCATTCCACTTCCAAGCCTACATATATCTGTAGGTATCTGGAATAAATAAATAAATATATATCTCTCCTTATGTAATTAAGGAGATATTTGATAAATGAGGACATCTCCAACAATACTTAAGAAAAAACCCTTTTTCTCTACTTGTGATGCGGTCGATATAGCAGTCAGAGCATTTTTTAATTCCAAGTGCACTCATTCAATATCCAAGAACCACAAGGAAGCAAAAGCCAAGGCACAAAACAAATGGTGGAGCCACTCTTACTTGGAGAAAGGGCTGAGAACGTCTTGACTTTAAACTCTTCTTCCTTTCTAAATACCCTCAAATGATGGTGAGTTAAGGACCACGGCCGAAGCGCGGGGCACGCTTCGGGCTTAGGTAGAACAGTTGCTCTGAGTTTGGTCCCCAAAACTATATCCGATTCTCTTCTCTCACCTCTAGTCCATGAAGAACCGGAGAGAGAGACAACAAGAGGTGACCACTGTAGCACCCGCCCAAAGCTGACTGAGAAAGCAGTATGTCTCCAACCCACTCTCGCCCATCCACTTCCAGGGTAACGAGGTTTCCCCAACTCGGAGACTGGAATCTACTCGCCAGCCCCATAACGTAGGGCAGAGAAGCTGGGTCAAAAAAAAGAGCCGAAGCTCTCCCATTCCCACGAGGCCTGCACCGCCCACCGTCCCGGCTCGAAGCGAACAGAACCAGGGAAGAAGCGGCTGTTGCCGGCTCCGAGGAGGTAGGTACCGCACCGAAGGGTAGGCCGGGAAGCAGCAGGCCCCAGCCGAGTACAAGAAGGGGTCTGTGAGATTCCTTTCTCACTGCCACACCCCAGTGTTGTAGAGCAAGCACAATTCCTTTTGCCCGCTGGGCGACCAGCCCCATACCGGCCAAGGGGGCATGGAACCGGGACCCCCACTGCCTCCGCCTCCTTACCAGTGTGATCCATGATTCGGCTCGCAGAGCACAGTGGGAGCGGAAGTCAACCGCGCCGGAGTCGCAGCAAGCGCGTGCGCGCTACCTTCCGGAGCCCGGGAGGCGGAAATGCGACCAGGTCGCCCCAGCCTAGGCCTGCAAAGACTTCCTCCTTTCGCCTCCACTTTCCCACTCCAGTAAGGGAGTCAGGCATAGTTCGGGCAAAAGCAGAAAGAGCGAGTACGCGAAGAGCTTCACCGTTAAGGTTGCTGAGGCTTCTCATGTGCTTCAAGAGAAAGTAGCTTTTAACAGTGGAAAGGACACGGGAGGGGGAGAGCGGTGGAAGCCAAAGGAATAAGCTCCCGGCAGGTAAGGGCCGCCGGCCCCGCGGAGCGATGCCTTCTGGGACTTGTAGTGCGCCGGCGCCCTGGAGCCAGCCAGGCCCAACTGCGCAGGCTCGGCCGTTGCGCTGGCCCCACCCCGGCGGGCGGAGTAACGGTTTGGAATCCCCCGGGGTCCGGGACCAGCTCCAGTCTCCTCCGCCCGGTCTAGGAAAAGTGTAAACACGCGCGCTCTGGAAGGCGTCCTCCAGTGGGAGGTTGCCCGGGGGATGGCTGAGCTCTGGGAAGCCCCCAGCTAGAGAGAAAGGCTCTGTGGTTATTGTCTAAATTTTGCTTTGTCGTGACGGAGCTTCCTAGACTCACGCACAGCAGACCTGGTATATGCCTCCGTTCCCCGCTCTTAAGTTCGTAGCAGTTGAAACGTTATGCTTGGCCACCGCTTTGCAGAGAAAACGCTTGTGGCGCTACGAACCCTCGAGCACCTCTCCTAAGGACTGGACGCGAGGGCCAGGTGTAGGGCGCGTGCGGCGCAGCTGCCGCCTTTTACGGGGACACCTGGCAGCGCCGTGCAGAGTGGGGCTGAAGAAGGGGAGATAGAAACCGGAGGAAGTGAGGGGAGCGCCAGGGCTTGGCCGGAAGGGAGGGGTTGAAAAGGAAAAGCCGACAATGAGGAAGAGAGAGTTACCACAACAGGCGGTACCTAGTTCCAGTTCTTGGTCCCCGGGGTTTGTGGTTGCTGCTGCTTTCATCTTCTTCAGCCAAAACAAAAGGAAAGTGCCAAAGGGCGATTCCTTAGGACCTTCAGTGCAGTCCACACCTCGCAGACTTGGCTCATTTGTGTCCACTCCCCTCTCCAAACCTTTACACTTGATGTTCACAGATGAGTAGACAGGAGCACAATTAGTGGAAAACACAAGCTTGGGAGTCAAGGGATTTGGGTTCTATTCTTGCTGTCCCTTGGTGACGACATCATTACCTTGGTTTATTCACGCTTTCAGTGCCAGAGTTCCTAGATCAATAGAAGATTATTGACCTCTTACAGAAATGTTTCACGGTACAGAATTCCAAATAAAGTATGTGAAGCCATGTGTTATATCTGCCTAGTTGTACAGTAACAGCTCTGAATAATACTGTGATGATCAATACTATTTAAATGTGCCATGTTATTTGGTGATTATTGTACTGGGATCTTTTAAAAGACTTTACCACCATATATGCAGCTTTATAAACAAGTTTTTAGGTATATTCACAACAAAGGACTTTTTTTTCCCTTGGCTCAAGAGTGAACTAAAGACATTCTTGAATCAAAATTATCCTTGCTTTTGTTACAATGTATAGTTATGTATTACTAAGTAGTTTTCAAGATTCTTTCGATTGCTAAGAGATTATTGTTGTTTAGGGGTTGGGGAAAGCTCAACCTTTCTCCCATAACTCTCCCTGTTTCTTTAAATACAGTGCTGATATGGTCAGACTTTTTTTTTTTTTTTTTTACCAATTTGGGGATATAACAGAAGATAGTTTTCGCCTAGGAAGTGCTTTTTTTTTTTAAATCACGCTTAGCCTATCAGCTAAACTTCAGATAGATCCAAATAAGGTTCAGAATATTATTAGTGTCAACTGATGCTAATATTTAAATAATTAGAATTAAAAAAGAACATTCCAATTGTATTTTATATAATTTAATCTGTAAGTCAGAAGTTTTGTCAGCCTTTTATATTGCATCAAGTTATGGAAATTTACTGAAAGAAGATTCACTTATTTTAGATTTGATAAAATGTTAAGCATGTATCATTTGATTTGATTTGACATCTGTTACTTCCATGCATTGCTTTAACATCTGTGCTCTATATTCATTTTCCCTCTTAATTGTGGTTACTTCACGTTACCAATGCAGTAGCAGTGTGACAAATTAATCTCTTTATCTAAATTGATATGTGAGACTATACATAGATTATTTTATTACTATGTTCTAGTATCCCTTATTAGTGACCTGTGTGCTGCAACCAGTCGCATTTTTTAATGAAGAGTCACCATTAATATTTATACAGCATGTTACTGACCTAAGGTTTATAAAAATGAAAAGTCATAATGAACAAACTGGAGCACTGAGGTGTATACTTTTATCTTACTAACAGACCTCAACCAGCCTGTGAATTATAAGCTAATGGCCTTCAAGATGTTTTGTTAGCCTTCCATTTACATGTTTATGCTGTGAGAAGAGTAAGATACATATCAGCTTGTTTGCCCAAGAGCTTCTTTCAGACTCCTCAGTATTAGATCAGGACAATAAATAACCTTCATCTCCTAATGCGCTTTCAACTCTATCCCACTGAGTGCCTAAGACTGCAGAGAGCAAGAGCTGTCTAAATAACAGCCCCCTACCTCAAGGACCATACAGGCTAGCATTTATAGAAATGCTTAAAGATCCATGTAATTAGGTTCTAAGTGTTTAGAGGGAATGCAGTGTTACCTTCATTCAGAGAAAGTAATGAGCAGTGGGACTGAGGGTAGTTAGATAGGCTTTATGAAGGGATTTAAGCTGAACCTTGATGAACAGATAAAATATGGAAAGGAGCAGAGCTGCGAAGGAGGTATATCAAACAGAGAAGAGCAAGGACACAGATGTGAGACTTGTATGGCTCTTATAGAGGACAATGATCAGCTTTACCTGTACTGTTGATCCATGTTTGGGATACAAACTAAGGTATGGTTGTAAATAACCTTGAAAAAGTAAGATTTCACAGTAACACTTGAGAAATAGAGCCTGTAACAAAACTTAGTGTGATATATTCATGTAAACAATGAAATCCAGCAAGATATATTCAAAAACAATGAGCACATCTTAAATTTGGGGAGAATAAATACTGTTACACCTAAGAGAAGAATACCAAGAAGCAAGATATACCTATGATGGCCAAAATGCCAGAAAGTATGAATGAATTGTTCATTTAAAAAAACTGATTTTAATAGTGTTCACTATATGTTAATAAGTTTGGTAAGTAGAAATGGATGGAAAAGGCAGTAGAATATACTAGTTAGATATATGCCTTATCAAGTTATGATGGCCAGCTTTTCAAATACCATCAAAAACTAGGCAAGGGACTGATTCATGGAATCCGAAGGAAATAAAGACTCTAAGGACTGAACATTGCTGATTGAAGGCATTTTCCCACTCAACTCTTTAAGATCACATCCTTTGAGGCCTGACAATATACATATCCATTTGAAAAGAAGCCCTTTGATCTAGAGAGTTCCTGCAAATTTCCTTCCTTCTTTCTTTGTTTTTTTCTTCCTTCTTTTATAAGAAGGAAAATTTTGCAGTGTATATCCTTTGAGCTGGGTATGCCTGCTCCTCCCTACAGCTTCTTTGCTAAGAAGTAATTGCTTTGTTTTTTTCTCTCTCTCTTCTATTCAGCTTACTCCTGAAAGAATGCTTAGGGTATTAAACTGCTCTCTGGCTATGGCATTACATTATAGGCAAGTAATCTGTGATACTGTTTCCTAGACTTAAGAAAGCTTTCATCTCTGGGTACCCTGATCCAAAATTCATATGTTGGAATTTAAACCATTTGTTAGTTTTAAGAGGTGGGGCCTCTGTGGAAGTTATTAAGTCATGAGGGTTCTGCCCTCATGAATGGAATTAATGCCCTTATAAAAGAGTCCTTAGAGAGCTGCCTGGCCCTTTTGTCCTTCCACCAGGTGAGGATACAGCAACAAGGTGTCATGTTGGAAGCAGAGAGGCCTCATCAGATACCAGATTACTAACATCTTGATCTTGAACTTTCCAGCCTCTGGAACTATGAGAAATAATTTTTTTGTTGTTTTTAAATTACCCAGTCTCAGATATTTTGTTAAAGCAGCACAAACAGACTAACACACCTGGTTTATTTGGTTTGTAAATAGACCTTGTTACTGTTTAAATAAATGTATCTCTATGTGTTACATCATAGCCCAGTGTAAAACACAAACTCACACAAATATATATGTAAGTGACATGAAACTATACTTACCCTTGCTATATGCAGTGCTCTCTGCAATTTCTATTCTGCCCTTCTAAAAAATGTGCTATAACACACTGAAATGATGTCAGAGTACACTGATGAGTTGCAATTTAAGTTTGAAAACCACTGCTTTATATCTACCATAGTGTTTTGAAGAGCTGATACTATTCTAGAAACATCTGAAAGGAAGGATCAATCTTAGCGATGAGAGGACTTATCCCTTAAACATCTGTGCAAAGGGGTGAAGAGGAGGAAGATAGTTATCCAAGGCCAAAGAATGCCAGGTAACCTAAAACACAGCTACTTGGAGTTTATTTCTTATAATTGAGAGTGGCTACCTCCAGAACTCCAAAGGAGCAAAAACATGGGTGTGAGCTAAAAATATGGGTGTGAGCTATGGCGCCAGGCCTCAAGTGGCTTTTAAACAGGAGTCTGCTCTCCACTTCTATTTTTTTTTTTTTTTTTTTTTTTTTTTTGGAGACAGAGTCTCACTTTGTTGCTCAGGCTAGAGTGAGTGTTGTGGCATCAGCCTAGCTCACAGCAACCTCAAACTCCTGGGCTCAAGCAATCCTACTGTCTCAGTCTCCCGAGTAGCTGAGACTACAGGCATGAGCCACCATGCCCGGCTAATTTTATTTTATATATATATATATTTTTTTTTTTTTTTAGTTGGCCAATTACTTTCTTTCTACTTTTAGTAGAGATGGGGTCTCACTCTTGCTCAGGCTGGTTTCGAACTCCTGAGCTCAAACGATCCACCCAACTCGGCCTCCCAGAGTGCTAGGATTATAGGCGTGAGCCAACCAACCCGGCCAATGTTCATTTCTTTTATTCCTCTTGATAATTACTCCACCTTCAGAACACCCAGGCACTGTTTCTTTTAAGATACCACTTTCTACTTTGTATTGTGTCAACATGCTTATTTTATCCACCCTACAAGTAAAGCTCCTTAAGAATAGGGTCCATTGTTCTTCATATTTGTATGACAGACAGAACTGAGCAGAAGCTACTCACAAAATATTTGTTGACCTACTAAAGAATGTCATCAAAGATATGGCCATGTCAAAATTTAAAAACATTTATAAATTGTACATGAATGTGGAAAATAACTGGCTAAAAAATAAAACATTTATGATGTGAAGGCACTAATAACTAGGATTGTAAAGAACTAGTAACAATTTATAACACCAATATTCAGAGTTCACTCAATAAAATGAGCAAAGAGCATCTAATGCCAGAAGATGGCCCAGGTGTATAGAGGTTCTGTTGGGGGACATACAGCCAAAAAATATGGCCAGTGAGGATGTTATTCAAGCGTACAGGCAAAGATAGTCATTTTCAATCATGAAGGGTCTCAAGTAACACAACATGCCTGAGCTTTCTTGGGAGTGGTGGATGGAGGTACACTGTGTATATGTGTGTGTTTTTTTATACATGTATGTACATACAATAATCAAATCTAGTTAATTAGAGAAATTAAAATTTAAAACTCAGGAAGTGAAAAACTGGTAAAGTAATTTATTCAAGCATTTATTAGTGCCTACTATGTGTCAGACACTCTTCTAGGCACTACAGATGTATGAGTGAACAAAGCAAATAACTTACTTTGCCTGTGAAAAACTTAAATTCTAATAAAGTATAGCTGGTTTAAATATTCAACTTTCCTAATACTAAGCAATTATGGAAATTTTGGTTACAGAATAGAAGGTAAATATTATAAACCTGGACAAAACAAATATAACAGGAAAATTGTAAAAAGCAGAGGGGATAGAAAGCATGTAAGTACTAATTTTTTGAAAATCATCTACCTTCACTGGTTAGAATTTAAAAGTAGTTTAAAATACAGTCATGTCCCACATAGTGATGTTTTGGGCTACCATGGACCACATATGCAGTGGTGGTCCGATAAGATTATGATGGATCTGAAAAATTCCTATTGCTTAGTGATGTCACAGCCAGCCTAACAACATAGCACAATACATTACTCGTGTTTGTGGTGATGCTGGTGTAAACAAACCTACTGCACTGCCAGTCATGTGAAATTATAGCATATACGGTTATGTACCGTACATAATACTTGATAAGAAACGACTACATTATTGGCTTATGTAGTTACTATATCATTATTTTAGAGTATACTTTTGCTCATAAAAAAAAAAAAGTTAACTGTAAAATAGCCTCAGGCAAGCCCTTCAGGAGGTATTTCAGAAGAAGGCATTGTTATCAAAGGAGATAACAGGTCCAGGCCTGCTGAAGACCTTTCCCTGGGACAAGATATGCAGGTAGAAGACTGGGATATTGATGATCCTGACTGTGTGTAGGCTATGCTAATGTGTGTTTGTGTCTTAATTTTTAACAAAAAAGTTTAAAAAGTAAAAAATTAAAAATTTTTAAAGAAAAAGGCTTATCTAATAAGGAAACATATTTTTGTACAACTGTACAATGTGTTTGTGTTTTAAGCTAAGTTTTATTACAATAATCAAAAAGTTAAAAAAAATTGGCTAGTCCTAGTACAGTGGTGTTTACAACTAATTGAGCACAACCAGTTAGAGATTTCTTTGTTTCTTCTTCACTTGGCTAGCCTTTAAAAAAAAAATTTTTTTTAATTTACTATTGATGGAAGAGAAATTTTTTTATATAAATTTAATTGTAGTTGGGCATCGTGGCTCACGCCTGTAATCCTAGCACTCTGGGAGGCCAAGGTGGGAGGATTGCTTGAGCTCAGCAGTTGGAGACCAGCCTGAGCAAGAGCGAGACTCCATCTCTACTGAAAATATAAAAATTAGCTGGGTGTCACGGGGTGTGCACCTGTAAAGTCCCAGCTACAGGGGAAGCTGAGGCAGAAATCGCTTAAGCCCAGGAGTTTGAGGTTGCTGTGAGCTAGGCTGATGCCACGGTACTCTACTTAGGGAAACAGAGTGAGACTCTGTCTAAAAATAAATAAATAAATTTAGTGTAGCCTAAGTATACAGTGTTTATAAAGTCTACAGTAGTATACAATAATGTCCTAGGCCTTCACATTCACTCACCATTCAGTGACTCACCCAGAGCAACTTCCAGTCCTGCAAGTTCCATTCATTGTAATTCCCTATACAGTTGTACTCATTTTTTTGTCTTTTGTACCATATTATTACTGTGCCTGTTCTATGTTCATATATACAAATACTTATCATTGTGTTGCAATTGCCTACAATATTCAATAGAGTAACATGCTGTACAGGTTCATAGCCTAGGAGCAATAGGTTATACCATATAGACCAGGTGTGTAGTAAGCTATACCATCTAGGTTTGTGTAAGTATACTTTACAATGTTTGTACAACAACATAATGCATTTCTCCAAACATACTCTGCCAATAAGCAATGCTTAACTATATTAAGAATAACAAATTCAACTTCTTGGAGGTTTCATTAATTTCTTAACCTGGCAAGACCTTTTAGAAAAGAATACCTCTCACATTAAAGAAAAAAAATGTTTTTACTTCATGTCTTTTTGTTGTACCAACTTCAAATAAAATTAGTTAAAATTAGAACTTTTCCATTAAAGATAGCATCTATTGTAGAGCAGTCAGAGTCTATATAGAAACTGCTTCAAGTGTTTTTGGTGAGGGAATTTTTTTGTGTGTGTGTGTGCTCTCTCTTAATTTACAGTTTATTTTTCTGGCATATTATGGGGGTACGGAATTTAAGGTTTCAATAAATGCCCTTTTGGTGAGGGAATTTAATACATGGAATTAGTTATTCAGGTTATAGAAGAGCTGAGAAGTCAACATGACAGTAAGGTAACCCAGTGATTAGTAAGAGCCAGAAGCCACTCAGTTCTTAGGCTGAAGGGACAAAGGGAGAAAGCAGTGTTTACGGAACCACAGGCAGCCAAAGGAAACACAGCTCCTGTGAAGAATATACCCCTGGCTTCTCCCTTTCTCATGCCTTTCAATTTCCCACCAGTCTCCCATTGATTGATTCCAGCCAGATGTCAGCTGGTGCAGGAGCCAGGGAAATGCAGACTGTAGGGATCAACCCCCTTGAAGTACTGATAGAGTAAAAGCAAGCCTTGCATTGAATATGGGCTACTATAGAAGTTGTGTTACCTATCTATCCATGTAGAGATAGCTGGGTGTGCTCTTCCCTATTGTTACTGATAGTTGTCTCCAGTCGGGCTGCTATAACAAAATATCATAGACTGGGTGTCTTATAAACAACAAAACTTTATTTCTCACAATACTGAAGACTAAGAAATCTAAGATTAGAGTGCTGGCAGATTCAGTTATCTGGTGAGAACCCATTTCCTTGTTCCCTAGATGGTCTTCTAATTGTGGTAGAAAGCAGGGAAGGCAGCTCTCTGGAGCCTCTTCTATTAAGGCACTAATCCCATTCATGAGGGCTCTTTCCTGAATCACCTCTCAACAGCACCACTCCCTAATGCCATCACATTGGGGGTTAGATTTCAACATATGAATTTGGAGGGGACACAGACATTCAGACCATAGCAAAAGTTATTTCTGAATAAAGTGATTTGGGTTAATTCTTAGAATTTATTCTTGTAGTGTTCTGCATCATTTGAGGAGTTTTTTTACCTATGTATTTTGTTGAGCTAAAAACTACTAATGAACTTAAATTTAAAAGTATTCTAAACTTAGGCAGAGTTCTAGAATTAACCCAGTGTTAATATGTGCAATTGATAAAGCTTTCTGATTCCACTAAAGTAAAAAGTTTAAATTAAATATGAGGCCAATTAATTATACAGCATATTTTTGTAACAGCTTTCCCCCCATTTCATTGGTAAATATGTCAGTATGAATCTTTATAGTCACACTGCCATTGTCACACCATAGTCTCTTCAGAAAGTCAATATCATGGGGAGGGAAGGACTGGGAGGATTTTTGTACATTAATAAGACTAAAGAGGTTTAACGACCAAATGCAGTGCTTGACACTTGATTGGATTCAAATTCAGTTGAAACATCTATAAAAAATTGGGGGGAAATTTTAATATATTAAATAGATGGGCTAGAAGATAACATGAGGGAATTATTTTAAGTGTAATAATGGTATTTGGGTAGGAGATGAATGCTGCCTTGGTGAAGGGTAAAATATCATGATGCCAGCAAGTTACTTTCAAAAAATATATATAAATAGATAAGCAGATAAGGCAAATATGGCAAAATGTTAACAGTGAATCTTGGTGGTGGGTGTACTACTGCATCCTTCTTTCAACTTCCCGGTGTTTAAAATATGTATAATAAAAAGTTGGAAGAAACTTGAGACAGACTCATTTATAACATAAATAAATATTTAAAAAGAAAAAAAAGGATATCTTGTGTTATGGACTGAATATTTATGTCCCTTCTAAAATCCATATTTTGAAGCCCTAACCCCCAATGTTTATGATGTTTAGAAATGGGCCTTTGGGAAGTAATTAGGATTAGATGAGGTCATGACAGTGAAGCCTTCTTGATGAGATTAGTGCCCTTATAAAAAGAGACACTGAAGAGCTCATTTGCTCTCTCTCTTCACACACATTCATCGAGGGAAGGCCATGTGAACACACGACAAGAAGGCAGTAGCTGTGTGCAAGCCAGGAAGAGAACCCTAACCAGAACCCAGCGTGCTGGCACCCTGATCTCAGACTTCCAGCTTTGGAACTGTAAGAAAATAAGTTTCTGTTGTTTATACTACCCAGTCTATGGTATTTTGTTGTGGCAGCCCAAGCTAATACAGATTTTGGTACCAAGAAGTGGGATGCTGCTGTAACAAATACCTAAGTATGTGGCAGTGGCTTTGAAACTGGATAATAAGTAAAGGCTGGAGGGATTTTGAGGTCCATGCTAGAAATACAGGCATTAAGGACAATTCCGGTGAGATCTCAGGCAAAAATGAGGAAAATACCATTGAAGGAATATGATAACTGGAGGAAAGTCGATCCTTATTATAAAATGGCAAAGCACTTGGCTGGCCTGTGCTCTAGTATTTGTGAAACGCAGAACTTGTGAGGCTGAAATTGGATATTTAACTAAGGAGATTTCTAAGCAAAGTGTTGAAGGAGAAGGTTGGTTCCTCCTGACTGCTTATAGTAAAATGTGAAAGGTAGGAGATGAACTGAAGAAGGAATTGTTATTCAAAAAGAAACCAGAAATTGAATATTTGGAAAAATCTTAGCCTATCCATATTGTGAAAAACGAGACAGATTGTTCTGAAGAGAATGCTAATAAACATGTGTCTGGTTTGATTAAAAGATCATGGTGCTATTCATGGACTTAACCAGCCATTTCAGCAGAAACCAGGAACAGAGATGGCATTATACCAGCAGAGACACTGCCAGGTTGATCTAAAGGGGACAAAGAAGGAGGCACAAAATGAAGGAAGTCATTTGGACTTATTGGATTTTACAGGACAGGGCTATAGAGCTATTCAGCTGTAAACATGTGCTATCCTTCAAGAAAAAGAAGGACTTCAACAGTAATTCAGAGATCATCAGAACTGCCCCTCCCACCACAGGCCCAAAGTGCAGGAGTGGGGGGGCGGGGGAGGGCAAGACTGCTTCCACCTTAGATTCAAGGGGATCCATGGGCAGGGCCCTCTCAGCAGAGAGCCATGTGGTTGGGGCTGCCCCATCAGCAATGGGAGTGATGCTGCCATCTCAGTGAGCCTAGAGGGCAGAGCACCAAGCCAAAGAGGAATTTTCCCAACCTTAAGATCTAATGGAATTTGCCTTGCCAAGTTTTGGACTTGCCTGGAACTGATTACTCTTTCATTCTTTCCTATTTCTCCCTTTTGGAACAGGAATGTTTATTCTATGCCTGCCCCATCATTGTATTTGGGAAACACAAACTTTCTGGTTTCACGGGTTCATAACCGGAGAGGAATTTTGCCTCAGGATGAATCATACCTCAAGTCTCTTCCATATCTGACTGAGGTGATATTTAGATGAGTCTGAATTTTTTATTTTCCTTTTTTTTTTTTCCTTTCTTAGCAGCTGATTAACTACACTCCGTGGGATCTAGAGAGACTTTGGACTTTAGATTTCAGAGTTGATACTAGAATGAGTTAAGACTTTTTGGGGTGTGGGAGATGAAATAAATATATTTTGCATGCAATAAGGACATGAATTTTAGGGGGCCAGAGGTCAGAATATTATGGGCTGAATGTTTGTATCCCTCCAAAATTCATGTTGAAGCCCTAACCCCCAATGTAGTAGTATTTGGATATGGGGTCTTGGGGAGGTGATTAGCATTAGATGAGGTTATGATGGTAGGGCCCTCATGGTGGGTTTGTTTAGTGCCCT